GCCAGTCACAAAATTTCCAGAATAACCGAGTAAAAGAACCTGGCTGAACAAGATAAAAACACAACCATCTGACATCCTATCAAACTAACCTGAAAAATGCTGTTGGAGATATAGAAAATTGAAGATTGCTTGTATAATCATGAATTCTTGCTTCTACAGCATTCCCAATAGTAACCGGTTCAGGCCCACTGTCTGCACCTGGAATGGGCAACAAATGCAGTGGAGCATCAGCTGGTGCTACATTTGATATTCCTTGGTGATCCTTGATGAAAAACCAATAGGACAAGAGAGCATTTAGACAAATAGTCAACATATAATACCACAAGAATCAAAGGAATCATGATCTTAAATATATGACACTGCAGAAAACACTAGCAAATAGGTCCAGCAAATCCCATATCCAGTCCAGCGTAAACCCTCAGAACTACATACAAGCCTAGAAACTAGTCTAAAAGATCACACTGTCCAATGAAAAAAAGATAATTGTGAATGGAGAAGTACCTGAACAACCAAAGCAGTCAGAGGTAGAATGGGATTATTAGCAGTAGCACCCACTCTAAAGGCATGAGCTAGTCTCTTGAGTTCACTGGTTATTTGGACATCATCAAAGCTAAAGGAAGAAACCTATGCAATCAATATGAGAAAAAGAAGGAAATTAGGAAATATCCTAGTGTAAGTGAGAAAGATGGTGAATCAATCATTTTAAATAATGCAAGTCTGTTGTAGGTGGGTGGAAGATGGTGCATCAATAATTTCTTCAAAAAAATATACAAAAACTTAGCCTACCCAATAAGTCAACTAAACCATGAGAGATAACACAAACTTGAACAATAAGCATGACCTCTGAGAAATTGGCCTCAGAATTGTCTTCAGGGCTCTTTCCGGCTGATCTTCCTTCACGGACCTTATAATACATTTTGAGGAAATAGAAAGTAAGTTGGAAAACATTCCAGCATAAGACTAAAGAGACACATTTAACAACTCCATATACTGCATCATCAAGACTCAAGAGAGTAAACTAAAAAGGTAATTGCAAATATGAAGAACACATACTGTTAACTGACGCCAGAATCCTGTATTTTTAAATCTATTCCAGTTTGGTAAGCTTGATCCCTGTAGATACTCCTGGAAGATTGAAGCATATTTGCATGCAATTGTTAAAACATTTGGGCAGTCTGTAGGTTCTTTGACTGCTGTCAACCGCTCTGAAAGAGCTCCACTCATTAGCTTTGTAATTCCAAATTTCCAACACCCAAGAGACTCCAGCAACAAGTTAATAGTCATACCTGAAGTTTCCTAACATAAACCCCACAGTGGGTTTGCCATGTCAAGAATAACCAACTGAAAATTCACACTTATTGTGGTATCCATTAACGCATGGGGATTTAATCACACCCTCTAGTTCACATGGAAGACCACCTGCACAAGCAAGTTCAGGAAAAGGACAGCCATAAGAATCCCTGCTGTTCTCATATCAATGGAAGAATACCTAGAGAGTGGCATTGTAGAAAATTTATGGAAAATCCTGTCAAATATTTCATCAGCAACCTTAATCCTACTGTTAACTCATATGATTTCCATATACAAATTACACTCATGGATGATCACTTTTGGAAGTCTAGAAGGTGGAAACACACACAGCTATCTCCTTAGATTTAAGAATCCACTCTGGAAGTGAGACACCATTAGGACAAGCTTTACATGCATTTCTTGTCTGCCCATAAAAAATAAACCAGTTTAATTTGGCAAAAGTTCACAACACAACATAAAACAAGGAAAGCAGAACAGGAAAATAAGAGGTCTTTCTAACAAGTTTTTTGAGCATCTGGAGGACAGGGTTCTTGTGCTCCAACTGATCATCATAAGACATATGAGCAAGGGGAGTCACTGCATCACATGCAAATTTTGCCCTTGAAGCTGAAGCATCATCATTTGTAGTGACAACTTCAACCTCATTAGAAGTGGTAGATACATCTGTTTTCTCTTTATCTGATGCAACTTCCATGGTTTGTTTAGAATTTTGAGGCGTTTCCAATTCCATTGCTGACTTGATTTTCTTTCCAAATGATCGAGAGATCACATCCACAACCTTTAAATTTTTGTTTCCAATAGATTTTCCCTCCAGCTCCTTCCACATTAGAGTTTTAAGTACCAGTTACAATAGTTAAAACAAGTTTATCAATCACTGATTTTGACAAAGAGGGAGCATTACATATCTGCATTGCAGTTTGCAGCTGTTCTGCACTTTCAAAACTCACAAGACCTACAACCATGCCTTTCTTCTTCTTCTTCTTCCAAAGAGAACGTTTCAAACCAACATGAGAATACGCTTCATTTTCTCATACTACTAAACTGAGTTTGAAACAAAACCCACATTTTAGAAAACACTAACAAAAAGATCCTTACTTGATCACTGAGAAACTTTCTCAAATTATCCGAGTGCCACTTTCTCGGCAGATGCACCAAGCACTTGCTAAACTGAGGATCACCAACGCCTTCACCATCACCATCCTCAACCATCTCCATCATCAGAACCTCCTCCTCTTCCCTCACCACGCATTTCTCCCCATTATCCACTTCCATGACTTTCTTGGCCATCTCAGACGTCGGGTCCCAGGAATTATCTGGCCGCGGCCGCAGCTCCTCCTCACCATGTGCGTACACCATGGCTGCAGGAACCCCCCTTGCCACCTGAAGAAAGAATAGAGACTAGTTTTCCAGAAAGGGTGGAGGGCAGGATCTTGGTCATCTCGCTTACATTTCTCGCTGGCGTTGGCATCATCCGACGTTGGAGGATTAATCGACAAGTCCTGTCCATCGGCAGTTTCAGGTGCTTCCGGAGCTGAATCTTGACCTTTGGTTTGTGGGTTCTCGGTGATGGGTTCTGGGATTTCAATAGCAGAAGCCATTTCAATGACGTTACCTCCTTCAGTGGAAGAAGGCGGCAAGAGGGTTTCTGGCAGTTGTTCGCTTCTGCCCTCTTAAAAATTCCCTCGTCCAATGCCTTTTTTTTCTTAATTTTCCTTCGAAACGGCAATATTCATTTTATTATTTAAAAAATCACTGTAGTATAAGAAGTTGCAGAAAAATCACGGATTAAAAAAAAAA